AATGTCCAGGACGCCTGAGAACCGGGAGGTGATGTCAGCAATTTGGTGATAGCCTATGTACTTTTGAATGTGTTGCAGCTCATGACGGCCCTTGCAGAAGATCGCGCACTCTCGTTACGTTGTCTGCCTGAAGTTGATATATGTACTCCGACTTGCTTGCAGGCAGGCTGCCGACGCCCAAATAAGTGTTGGAGGATTGCTTACAGCGTTAGTGTATGTATGAAAAGGGAGCTTGGACACTATTGCAGGTGGGGCTACCTTGCAGTGGGGGTTACAGCAGGATGCGTCGTAACTATTGGACTGCTGGGTCTGTAGCATGCTCCACGTGGAGCTGTTACGTGTACTTGTGTCCAGGCTGGCTACTAAGGGGCAACTAAGTGTTCAGCAAGCTGCACAGTTCTAGTAGATGCAGCAGTAGGGGATTTGCGGTGCTTACATGTAGGGTTGAACTGCAGCAGGAGTTGCAGCAAGGTGCTTTCCAATGCACGTTAGGCCGTCACATACCGCAGCAGTTCGATGCCCCTTGTCGGCTGCGTCCAAGGCACCTCGGGACGGGAGAGGGGGGCAGCTGGGTTTTAGGAATTGCAACGCGTGCTGCAGGACAACCCGACATTCAGACATACCCACGCCCCATTTTCATGCATGCGCCAACACAGGAGGCACTTGTTAAATGCCTACATTTGCCCCTGAACAGCAGCCTTCGCACCAGTACAAATACGTGAGGCGCCTAATACTAGTTAGACCCCGCTACAGAGGGGAAGCTGCATTGTCACAGCCCGTAATCCTAAGCTTGAAAGCGGCTACCAAGCCCACTCGTGCCTAATGTATATGCTTAGGAGGAAGTGTCCAAGCATAAATGCTCTATCAGATGAGAACAAATCTGGGCAGCGAGCGGGCAGTCCCGGCGCCTCCCCAGTAGCATGAACATAATACCTAGGGCGTTCCCTTGTACAGCTTAAGTTGTTACAACCTCCCTGTCTAAAGTATACTGCTGTATAGTGCAGTAAACCCTGGAAATATATTAAACTGTCTCCTTTTCCGCCCCATCGCCGCCCCAGCGCTCCGCACTCTGGCTGAGCCAGCCCCAAGACGGGTTCGGGCTCTCACGCCACGTCTGTCACGTATGGAAGGGGCAGCTTGCTTTTGAAGTTTGTACAGTTGCGCTGTTTTCCGTTTGTATTTATATTTATGCAGTGACTTTTGTTTCTTTTCAAGGAGTTCCGGCCACGTTGCAGTGTTGGGCGCAACAGGGCTCCGTTCCAGGACCCGGCGGGGCAGGAGGAGGAGCCGCAGGAACAGCAGCGGGAGCGTGACAAATGGCCTCTTCTCTTCTGGGGGCCGCGGGGGTGGCCCTGCTCACTGGACTGCCGGTGGTGTGCCCAGCGCCGGCGGGCGGCCCCGGGGCCCCTGATGTCGCTGTAGCAACAGAGGAGGCCCATACCAGTTCACATGCATCGACGGACCTGCCACTGCTAGAGTCTAAGGAAAGCATTTTCCCAGCCCCACTGCATTTCCATCTCGCGCTGCTGCTGCCGCTCGTCGCGCTGATCTTGCTGCTATTCCGACCCGCGCGCCCAACGCACAAGGGCCGACCACCACCACCACCACCAACAGCACCATCACAACCCGAGGCTGGCGGCGTGGTGCAAGCGCCTCCTCGGCGGCTGCCCCCAGAAGCCATTCCCCCTCCACCGGAACAGGTGGAGCAACAGGGCGTCACGGGGCCGGGGACAGAGGGTCCTGAGCCCGGGGCCCCTCAAGGCGCGTCAGAAGAACCGAAGGAGGAAGCCGTTGAGGGAAATGCAGGGTCACCGGGAGATAGCGGAGCAGACTCTAAACAGGAGCAGCAGGGTCCCCCCACCCCACCCGAACAACAGGAACAGCACACGCCGGGGACTACGTCACCTCCAGAGGCGTCCTCTGCTGAAGGAGAGAAGCCCGCTGAGTCCCCCCAAGAGCAACAGCCACAAACGGAAAGCCCTCCTGAAAGGGCGGAATCCCCTGAGCACCATCTG